CAATAGATAACAGTGTCTGCATTGGCACAATTTCTTCCATAACTAGAGCCTTACAGTCAGTGAAACTATGTGAATTAAAAAACCCGCTACACCTCATATGCTACAGGTGAGAATAGAATGTGAATGGCCCTGCAAAATCAAGTAACAGATTCCTGCTGTGAGATGCTCAGCAGCAACTTATGTAGCGCTAGCTTAGAGCCTCGCTACACTGATAATAAAATACAGCTCATGAAAATTAAAAGAAACATGAAAGTAGGAACCTTTACTGACTTTTGCTCTCATTTAAAATAAGAACAAGCTGCTAAACATATATTGATGCCTAGAAGAGAGTGAAAGAAAGCACAGGGTTATCAAATAAGTATCCCAGCTTATTATTTTTTGAGATATCAATTCCTAGCCTAATATGGAGTAGCTGCCATGGACTGAGGTTCTGTTGCAGTATTGAAAAATTTGAAAATACCAGGGAACAGCCTTCTCCGGCTTGCAAACATAACCAAAACTGAGAGCTGGCCAATAGCAGGCTATACTGACTGTTCCTCATCTCAGCAGCTCCTGGAAACAGCAGAATTTCATTTAGTTGTTGGCCTCTTGCTAAGCTCCATTCACACCTCCACAACACAGAGCTCTCTGAGCACCAGTATCCAGTCAAGTATTTGCTCCTTAGAATCTTCTTCCTTGGACTCCACACAACAAAGATACACATGGGCATGATTTATAGCCTAAATAGTCAGTCCACATTTTTACAAGTTGTTTAGTTCTATTATCTCACTATCTTCCTTGTCACGAATATTTCTGTGGTGCACTTCAAGGCTCACACAGACATTTGGTGGCATGAAATGACAAAGCTCTTTGTCTTGCAATTTAAACTATTTCCTTTTTGGATGTTTGAGGATGTTTGTCCCTATTTAAGCCCCAAAACTGCAGAAATATTTGGAGCATTACTGGAGTAGTACACTGGGAATTCAGTGTAGTCCAAGGTGTTCATTACAACAGCAAAGTTTGGATTTAATGACCTCCTTTTTAGCTAACATTATATGTATCACAGTGTGTACTTTTTTTTCTAAATAAAAGCTTTTTATCAAGAAGAACTGTGTCTGCCATGATAGTATCATTGAAATACCTGCACTATTTCCAGAGCTCTCATGCAAACATATATTGTTATAATGCCACTTACCCTTAATGACATTTCCTTTCACTTCATGAACCTATGTTTGTTATTTTGTCTTGTTGAATCAAAGATGCTCAAAGCAATTGCCAGCTATATACAACAGAGCTACTTCACACATTACTGAAACACAGTCTCTTCTAAGTCAAAAGTTCCCAAAGGGTTAAAGGTTTTCTAGAAGGGTATTATACAGCCTGAAACAAACTAAAAGCCCCATATGGAATTTAAACTGCTCTGATAAAAATCCTCCTGAAATCAAGTGTATTTTCTAAAACATTAAAGCATTAAAAAATAAGACATAATTGGAATAAAATATTCTGATTTTACTCAGAACAACCTAAAAGTATTCTCCACAAGAATTTTTTTTTTTTAATTTATCTTTGGAATACATACATTTTTAAAATCTTGTAATTTCCATCTAGATTTTATTAGATTTATTTTCTTCTTACTTTGCATGAATGAAGAGCTGTGTTTACAAGGAACGGAACAGCTGTCATGACTGAATTATCAGGCTGTATTTATTTCCTGTCTGAATCTAAATATCCTTCTTCCATTGCCTTGAGCCAAGTGGAAGGTACTAACGGAGAAAATTCTTCAAGATTTGTCAGAATTATTTATAACACCTATTAAGTAAGTTTGAACTTCTTCCACAGAGCAGATCCGCTGAGGGGCTGGAACTGTGAGAGTTTCACTGGCTATTTTCAGCTGACAATAAACCTCTGCTTCAGCTACCAAAGTGTTAGAGCTCTTTCATGGGAGCATTTAGTGCAGCTTACAATTATTCAGCACTGACAGATGCAGCAGTCCTGAAAAGGACCTGTTAAACAAGCTTATCAAGTGACATGGGGCCACAGATAATGAAGCTCATGGGAAAGCAGCACTTACGAGGTACCTGATGTCTGTGCTCTCCAGCTTTCCGTCAACTCAGAACCTTTTATATGGGATATTGACAGTCATTGGCCCAAACCAATTTTTCCTCATTTTGGAAGGTTGTCCCTGCTGCCTATCCCTGTTTCTAAGAACACTATTCTCTTCTTCTTTGGACTTCATAAATAGAATCTGTTGTGTTGTTTCTCTGCCTTTTCCCCAACCCAGCTATATACAGTTTTAGAAAGCTCAAGTATGGAAACAAGTATATGTACATAGTTATAAAAAATGCTCAGATAAATGACTATAGCGTAGAAAAACATGGCAGCAGACAAAGGGAGTCAGAGGACCTGAAAAAAATATTTCATCCTCTGCTAAAGGGTGTGAATTCTACAGCTACTTCCAGCTAATAGTTGCACTATAAATAAAGATTCAATATGCCATCAGCTTACACGTTTGCATGTACTTCTATGTGCATACACAACTTTATAGTATGATACAGGATTTCAAGAAACTCAAAGTAACAGTATACAGGGGAAAAAAATGGGTGTCTTCTACTGTAAGAAATTGGAACTGATCACTGGAAAAGACTCAGGCTTATAAAGAGAAGTGTTTTTTCCAGAACAGTGCCTGAGATTTAATATTTAAGTAGCACAAATGGTTTCCCAGAGCTGTGGAACAGACTGGGCTCTTCCTTGATCCTTGGCTACATTATTGAACATCCTCAGTGAGATATGTGATACTTAGGCCTCTTTATTGACCTTAGTTTTGACTTGTCTTTTTGCTTTTTTCATCTCTGTTGCTGTGAAGAATTGCAGAAGGTCCTTTTGCAATAGGTGAGCGACCGTTGGTGGGAGCATTTTATTATCCTGTGTAACAGGATATGCACCATAACAGAAAGATAAGTTAGGATGCTTATAATGAACTCTCTGTTTGTTGCTATTCCTATTCTGTCTGTAGAGATATTTAAGAGTGCTTTCCCTCAGCTGATATTCAAGTCTGTCTCCTAGAAAGGTAAGGAGAGACCACCACAGACAGGATTAAATTTTAGACTGCTGGTTGAAGCTGTGGTCTTCCTCTGCTTGGATACCTAAGCAATGGGTCAGTAAATTCATCAGGACAAAATCCAGGGCTCAAGAATGGGATTAAAATACAAAGCATGGGTATTTTCATGTGAGTTGCAGAGACTGACTGAACAGCAAATCATATGTAAGAAACTCACTGAAGTCATTTGAACTTTGTGATGTATAAAATTACATGTTCAGGCTCAGCAGGAATAGGCTGTTTTGCTTCTGATCTAAACTATTATTTCTAATCTACTAGTGAGACCAGTTAACTCAGTTCCAGACTCCCACAGAGGTAGCTCTGTGCAGGACAAAGAACCTGTATTCTTTGGTGGGAACAAGGACAAATGCAACCACACAAGCTAATTCAGCCTCCACTGGCACTTGGCTCAGTGATACGCTGCTTTTGTTCCTTTATGGCCTCTATTATGGTAATATGAGCCAAAATAGAAGTTTGTTGATAATTTCAATATATGTAATATATTTAGATAGATAGATAGATAGATAGA